TAATGAAACTTGTGTCAATCTGGAAGATTGTGAAGCTGAAGCTGCTGCCTCTGCCATTGCTGTTGCTGCTATAAGTAGTGATGAGATTATTGGGAATGGACTGGGAACTTGCTCTGCCTCTGTATCAGAGACCAAAAGTTTTGGAGGTGCAGAAATTGATGGTATAACAGCTGGTAGTAAATATATTTTTGCTACCACAGTGGTTAGCCTTGCACCATATATTTTTAGGTGTTAATTTTTTTTCCAATCTATTCACCTGACACTTGTCTAATCTTCTTTAGCAGGTGATCAGCAATCAGTGAGTCAATCTAGGGCTGAAGAGTCTCTCACTGTAGCTTTGCCAGCAGATTTGTCTGTTGAGACCCCGCCAATTTCCTTGTGGCCACCTTTACCGAGCCCACCAAATTCTTCTAGCCAGATGATCTCACATTTCCCTGGAGGCCCAGCATCTCATTTTCCTTTCTATGAGATGAATCCCATGTTGGGGGGTCCGATTTTCACTTTTGGACCTCATGATGAATCTGTCCCTGCTCAATCACAGACCCAGAAGAGTAGTATTCCAAGTTCAACTCCCCTTGGGACCTGGCAACAATGTCATTCTGGTGTAGATTCATTCTATGGTGCTCCCACAGGATATGCTGGCCCTTTCATCAGCCCGACTGGGGGTATACCAGGGGTTCAAGGCCCACCACACATGGTTGTCTACAACCATTTTGCACCAGTGGGACAGTTTGGACAAGTTGGTTTGAGTTTTATGGGTACCACTTATATTCCGTCTGCAAAGCAACCTGATTGGAAGCGTCATCCTGTATCTTCTGCTATGGGTGTTGGTGAAGGAGAGGTGAACGATTTGAACATGGTAGCTGCCCAACGCAATCCTACCAGTTTAACTGCTCCAATCCAGCATCTTGCCCCTGGGTCACCTCTCATGCCTATGGCTTCTACTTTGGCGATGTTTGATGTTTCCCCGTTTCAGGTAGAGATTTTCTAAAACGGAAAGCCATTTGACTTCTAAAATGATGGTTTCTCTCCTTCCCCTCTTCTGTAGGTTTTTTGTTACTGAATTATGTTTTGCAAAAAAAAAATCCATTGGTTTTATGCCAATGAAACGGGTAGGGAGTGTTTTTGTTCGGAATTATTCTGAAGCCTCGGGACCACAGAATAAGCATATCTTGCTGTTGATTAGAGTAATTTACTGCCACATTTCTTTTTGCTAACACTTGGTTGAATATTTTGTGTCCAGTCCTCTTCAGATATGTCGGTCCAAGGTCAGTGGTCGAATGTTACTGCAGCTCCTCATCAGCCCGTTTCCATATCAATGCCATTGCAACAACAGCCAGATGGTGTACTTCCTCCACAATATAACCATGGACCTCCTGTTGACCAGTCATCTGCCAATAGGTTTTCTGAGTCCCGAACATCAACACCCTCTGAGAGCAGCCGGAATTATCATGCAGCTAGTGATGTAACTGTCACCCAGTTGCCTGATGAACTGGGGTTAGTTGACTCATCAAACACTACTGGTCCTGGGACTTCGACACAGAATGTTGTTGCTAAGAGCTTGTCTCTAAGCACCATCACAGATGCTGGCAAGATTGATGTTGTTCAGAATAGCGGCAGCAGCAGCAGCAGTGAGAGTGTTGGCCAAAACAATATTGCTACTTTTAAGCCTCAGTCTTCGCAGCAAAAGAATACATCTTCCCAGCAGTACAGTAATTCTTCAGGGTACAGTTATCAAAGAGGAAGTGGTATTTCACAAAAGAATAGTTCTGGAGGCGAATGGTCCCACCGAAGAATGGGGTTCCATGGGCGGAACCAGCCCTTCAGTGCAGAAAAGGGTTTTGCCCCCTCAAAGATGAAGCAGATTTATGTGGCTAAACAGACCACGAGTGGGACATCAGCACCATCATGAGCATGATGGAGGATGATCTTCTTGGATTGAGAAAAGAGCGCCAGAAAGAAGGGTGACTTTTTGGGATGAGCGTTTTCTTTACATTTGGCATGATTCATTGCGTAAATATGGAATGTCAAGTGTGTGAATTTGAGCGCCAATATAATTAAAGCTATGCTGGTTTTTGTAATGTAAGTTTGCAAAACTGGTCGATAATAGCAGTTTTGAGTCTTTTGACGAAGTGAGGGAGGAATGGATTCTAGTGTGGTAGTTGGGCTGGTAGCCACACCGCTGTTCACAAGTATTGTTTAATAGTCGGTTGTGGTCTATCGATTCCTTTATTTGTCCTTTCTAGGCTGCAAACCTGATTGTTTATCTCTTGGTATTTGATGTATTAAAATTATTTATGATCCTGCTGATTTTTTTTTTTATTTTCATGGCAGTAATGATAAATGTGAGCTTTGGGGAACGCTGACCTCCTACTCTGTTCTTTCATCACTTTTATTGTAGATTTAATTTACTAGATGTTTCAGTGATTAGAACCAGATTCACATGATTCTCCTGTGTTTCATTTCCTACTACCACCATGGAGTTAGCTGAAAGGCTCGTTGATTACCAATACCAAAACACAAAACTCACTGCGATTATTAACAAAACATTATTAAGCGTAGGTACAACAATGACTTGTCTTTGGTCAAGATAGCTTGATTTTGCATACCTGAACCTCTATCACATTATGTAAAAATGTGGCAATATTAACAAATGTGAGCTTTGGGAAATGCTCATTGTTTGTCTACCCACTAAATCACTTTTAGCCGACTCTGCAGCCTGAATACCATCAACCACTGCTTTTACTTTGATTTTGGTTTTTCAGGAACCCTTCATTATCTGCTTTCATTACTTGCTTCTGTGGGGTTTTGACTGGACACACCTGAGGTTTAATAATATATATTAATGATTTGATTTGAAGGATTAGTGGAGTTTGTTTAATACTGATTTGGGACTTTGATATTACAATTGGAGAAGTGGAAAAGATGGAATTTTGATTTTAAACAAATTGATGGGGCGAATTTACCTTTAACAAAATTAAAAACACAATTGAGGCCTTTATAATTAAAATAATATCAATAGAGACCCTTTTAATTGGAATTTGCAAGGGCAATTTGATACATTTACATAACTCAACATCCGAGGATATCAAAATAGGTATTTAATCTAAAAATGTATTAAATAATATTATAATCCAAAATGTTAAAATTTTGGTATTGCCCTGGCCACCCGAAGAAATTAATTTTAGAAGGGACAAATTCAAAATAATATAATATAATATAGGAGGAAAATAGATGAGTGTGGTCAAATCTAGGAACACTAGAACAAAAACAAATTGGTTAAAGCAAAAAACCAAACAAAATAAATAAAGACTCAACCTACATAAATTATGCATGTCAAGATCATTAGGTTAAATCCTAAACCCTAAACCCTAAAAGGTAAAATTTCCAATTCTATAATAATAATTAGAATTATAGAAAGACTTATTTTTTATCATCCAAAGCCAAAATTTCGGAGTTTTACAGCATTGTGTATAGATTTTGAATCTTGATTTGAGTTTGAGCCTTTTATGGATTGTGGCTACCCAGGTATTTGGGCCTTGATTGGGCTTACCCATGTTAAGCCTCTCCTCTTCCCAACTTATGGGCTCTTATATTTGGGCCTCGTTATCCGAACTCTCATTCTCACATGGTGACTTATACGACGAAAATAATGCGATAATTGATATTTTAGTATAATCTAAGAAAACAAATGCTTTAATAATAAACCCTTTTAATTTTGGATTTAATAGTACATTATTCTAATTAATCCTTGACTTTTTGGAGTGTTAAATCAGGCTACAACAGTATTGAAAAAACAATAGTAATTGAATGAGGAAAAAGTATATGATATTAGTAGTACATTGAACACCCTATTATGTTTCGTTATGTTAGTGTTATATGATATAATAAATGTTATACAGTACTAAACATGATAATACAATATACCAAAGTGTTCCTTGTTCTACCTAACACGATACAAAGTTTATAATAAACGTTAAGATATATAGTATTGCACTGTATTAATGAGAATAAAAATAAGATTATATTACTAAAACGATGTATGTAATTTTTTGTACTTTAATGTTGGATGATAGTAATAAATCTTTAGAAGACCCATATAATTTAAAGTATTTAGTTCTATCTCTGTTGTGAGCAACATTTTTGCCGCGAGGACTACTAATTCTCATAAAACCCATATCAATTATTTTGCCAAAAAAAATTACGATTTATTCATTTACCTTGTAACCCAAATTATTGGGTTTTTGGGCTCGGGATCAATTTTGTTTCGAATCGAACCACAAAAAATTCAATTTCTCTTTTTTGTACAGGTAATGCAAGACGTACATAGAAATTTACAAATATTTCTTATACAAAGTGATGTGGTAAGAAATGAATTGATCAGTGAATATGATGAATTTGACTTTTTATATTTACTTCTCTGCCACATCACTTTGTACAATAAATCTTTGTAAAATTTTTTGTACCTCTAGTATTATTGTTTTTGTACTTGTGTAATTTGAACACTCTTACAAAACTGAACCAACCTACTTAGATCGATTTGGTCCATGTCAGATTTTCGAGTTTGTATAGGTTGTAGACACCCTTTCAAGTAAGATCACTTATTATGAAGTGCATATGTTATTATTGAAAAATATTAAGTACCCCTTATTCGAGAGTTTTTAATAAAAGGTTTTTTTATAGTTAAAATATAAGTTAGGCTCTAATTGTGTGAATTACAACTACTTTCCATTATTATTATTATTATGAAAAAATTTATTTATATACTAAATATGGAAAAAGAAATTAATTACAAGATAAAGGCTCATTTATATACTTTCCAACAGACTTTAACCTCTTTTTTAATTAATCAATTAAAAGCATTAATTTTTTCATTCTAAATTAACCTTATTTACTTAAACTAATATTAACTCTTTACATTTATATGCAAGAACACTAGCAAAGATTTAGCAATAGTGTATAAACAAGAAATGGTGATAGTAAACACTCGAGGTTTGGCCATGGCGACAATAGTGGTGATGGTGGCGGCAAACTTGATGCTCGCTCATCTTGGGGTCTCGCAACAAACACTATGCGGAGGAAATATTTCCGACCTTAGAAAACAATGCTCCAAGTTCGTTGAAAATCCTAATTTGAATCCGTCACAAGAGTGTTGTAGCGCAGTGAACAAATTTGACATCCGTTGTGCTTGCAATTTTGTTACTCCCATTGTGACAAAGCTGGTTAACATGACGAATGCCGTTATTGTAGCAAGAAAATGTGGTCTCACAATTCAACCAGGCTTCAAATGTGGAAGTAAGAATAAAAATTTAGTTCAAAAACCCTAAACTTTAAACCTTAAATTTTATTTTAATTTGATCAATAGAAATGTAAATTAACTAATTAATCTTGTGTTTCAGGCTACACAGTTCCTGATCATCCACCAAACTGGAAGATATAAAAAAATTATAATATTGCAAAATGTAATTTTCTTATATATGCTTTTTCAGTTTATAATAAAGAGTGTTCAAGGATGTGTCAATACTTATATAAGCATTAATTAAAATTTTATATTTGCAAAGCCCTACACCATTAATTAAATGTAATTTCTTGGATATTATATATATATTATTCAAACTCGATTAAAAATATAAAAATTCTTAATTTATATATTTAATTAAATTTTATATATGTTATTCATATCATTCATATGTGATATAGGAGTAAGGCACCATGCTACTTACCTATGTGCTTTTCATTTCACATTAACGAGAATTGTTATACTTAATTTTCAAGATTATATCTAAATATTTGCATTTCCAAAATGATTTTGGATCTAATTTGGTGATACCATATCATTTTACAAATTATTAATTCGATCAAGGTTGGAAAGTATTACCTAGAAAACATGTGTTTCTTTAGAAAACACTAAAAAGTAAACAAATCCTCTTTGTAAAATCTCATATGCAATTAAATACAAAGTTGATATATATATATATATTTCACCCTTTTTGAAGTCATCCAAGAACGTTCTTGGATCACTTCCAATAGGTTAACCAATAACAACATTAGAAAGAGAGGGAAATTAAGAAAAAAAAATTACAGAATAAATTAAAGAAAAAAAAAAAGCTTATTAACATATATCAAGCAGTAGAAAAGAAACTGAACTGTTTGTTAAGTGTTTTTATTGTAAATTGGTTGTAAAATTAATTTCGAGAAATTGAAAGAAGTACTAGGCTTTAAGGTAGAAATACTTCGACGTACGTAACACTTTTTTTGCTTTTGAGTTGACATGACAGGACAAATGTTTACATAGGTAGAATTAATCACCATTGGTACTCTATCTTGGCTTATAATTAAACGCTAATTAGTTTCTCCAAAAGCTCAATTATGAAAACGGATTGAGGCCTAAATTTTTTTTTTTGAAAGAAGTGAAGAAGGGGTGAGAAATAACTTCATATTTAAATTGTAGATAAATTGATCAAAATTATAAAATAACAAAAGATAATTGCAAATAAAATGTTACAGAAATTAATTGCATAGTTACATAATGAAAAAAAAACCATAAGATTTACACTAAACTAATGGAGTGATTCATGGTAATTTTGGATGGGCAAAGATCTTGATTACCCATAAGATGTTCATGTTTTTAAATGAGTCCATCATCAACCTTACATGAGTTATATATAATCTTTGGTGTAGACATTTTTAAATTTATAGCATACGAGATTAACAGTTAACAACATGTTGCTATGAAATCAAAGCCAACTACCAGTCGTTGACCTTTAGCTTTCACATTAGAAACTTTAAGAAATTTACATTTGAGAATTTTTAAAGAATATGTATGAGGTTTTTGAAGAATATTAATTACTTTACAAATTTATCCTAATTATTTTTTAAAATTAAGAAAAATTTGACACAATATTTGATTTATTATATAATTTTGTAGATGGTCCATTAATTTACAATCCACACTCAAAGAAAAATATTTCTAAAATAAAATAAATGTCCAATAAAAGTCAACTTTCTTTATGTAAAATATGTACCACATCATCTTCTAAAAATAAATAACAGAGGCCAATATTAAATAGAAATTTAACAATTTAATCCTTATAGATTCAAGTTTTTCAACTTAGCCCTCCATAGTTTTTTTTTGAATATAACAATTTAGTATTATGGTATTAAATTTAAAATTCTAATTCTCTTTGGCCACCCTTATCCATTGAACATTACATTTTAGCCCGTAAATAGTTTTTCTAGTTATGTTGCTACCACATTGATTTAGTATTTATCGAGTTTACTTTTTACATATACTCATCTATGTACACATTGATTTATGTATAAAAGTTTGTATCTCTTAGTTTTTCAAATAAAATTATTTCTAAAAAGTTGATAATGTAATTATGGTTTTAAAAATAATAAATATCTAACAAAAAGTCAACTTTCTTTACATGAAATAAATCCTACGTCATCTTCTAAAAATAACAAATATTAAGCACTTTACATTCACTAGAAATTTGTCAATCCATATCCATGTATGAAAAAGTAAATTACAATTCAAACCCTAACAGTAGTGAACCTCCTTTCCAACATATATATATAACAAAGGAAAAAAATTAATCTCTTTTCAATAGGAGAGACGAATAAGAAGAAGATAAAAAGAATTGGAGGAAGGGTGAAGACTGAAAAAGAAGAAATATGAAAAAGTTGGAGAGGAAAACTTTTAAAGGAAAAAAGACTCAAACCGTAGAGAGATAGGAAAGAGACGAAGATGAAAGAGAAATACGTGTAGATCTACTAAATTTACAAAAAAGAAGAATAAAAACTGAAAACCTTAACTATCATTAATAGTATGATGATAAAAGAATAAAAAGAGATGATAAAATAATAAAAAGAGATTTCATGAATTTCTGAATTCGAATTCTCTCAGGCATCAATAGAAGTGATCATGAGATTATTGTTTTAGATACTTTGTTACGTGTGGACTGTTTCTTTCCCAAATTTCAAACTCTTATTTCTTTCAATACTATCTTTCAAATTTTGGATATTTCTGAATTTGTCTAAATTCTTGGCCATCTCCCTTCTAACGGGCTCAAATAATTAAAATCTAAACACCATCCTCGAGAATTTATTTAATTCAAGCTCTTAGATGAGATTAGACGTTATAAAATTCTAACAAAATAACAAACCAATACTAATAAAATCCCATTCAACAGCCTCTTCAGTAATTTATTTGGATGGTGATAGTAATCTTGAAAAAAAAAATTTGAAGGGGTATTTAATTAAAAAAAATACTAACCTGGCATGTGTCTATCAATTACACAAGGTAATATAGTATTAAGTAATATATTATTAGGTAAAAAATTTGAGCTACAACAACTTAAATTGAAGATAAATTTTTTATTATTTTGATAGAATTTACATTTTCATTTACTCCATCTCATCCCTTCTTTCTTTACATAAAATATTAATGGAGTAATTTCGAAAACTATCATTGGGTGTTTTAGAAAGTATTACTCAAATGCTAAGTACGGGGCCATGCCAATCTTTTCAACAATTGATCAAACACAATCCCTAATGTTAATAGCGTCTCATTTTCTTTAATAATTGATAGAAATGAGTGCACATAATGGAAATGACAATTTTTTCCATAACAATAATGGACATACCAATCTTAACACCATGGTGGTGTTTGAATAATTGTTGAAAAAAACAAGACTGATTTGTATAATATAGCTATAATTAGCATTTGGACGGTACTTTATGAAAATACAGTGACTTTAAAAGTTATCCTAAAATAACCGCTATTGGACACTAGGTAACTTGATGGTAAAAGAATAAAAGGAGAATTTATGAATGGTTGAGTTCAAGTCCCCTTAGACACTAATAAGGGTGGTCACTAGGGTTTTTATCTGACCAGTAGTTCCAGAACCCTGAAAGATTAATTGAAGTATGCGCAGGCTGACCCAAATACCTCGGTGATTAAAAAAAAAAAAAGTTACCCTAAAATTTCAATTAAGTTTTGCTTTATTGTATTGAGTCAAGGAATAATCCCTTCAAATTGAGGTCTCATTAGATAACAAAAATTTTCAGATAATTAGGGTCATACTATTGACTCTCTTTTATTTATCGCGCGCCCACGGAGTTTCAAATAGCCTTCGTTGAATTTCCAAGATGTCTACCCGGAAAAAAAATTTGAAACTCTTCAACTAAGGCAAACTATCAGGAAATTGCGATATTGATCTTCCATAATGTACGACTTAAATGAACTTCTTAACATTAAAATCTGACAAATGGAGAATTCAAACACAAAAGAGTTAACCCTGTCAAACTCTGTTAAGAAAGAATTCATGGATCAACTCTCACATCTCATTTAATTTCTATGAAGATATCTCTCTATTGCTATATATCTACATCATCTGTGCTTTGTTCATCGTTTTCTGTATGGCGTTCAGCTGCATTTATATCGATTTGTTCACGTTCGACGATTTGATTTATATTATAGTCTGAGATTGGAAAATTAAGCTTAGCTTTAAGTCCCCGTGAGTGTCGGAATTTAATGGCTGCCTCATCATAGGCTCTGGCAGCAGCCTCGTCCGTCTCGAAAGTGCCAAGCCACACACGTTCTGCTCCGACCGGGTTCCAAATCTCAGCTGCCCATTTACCCGATGGCCTCTGCCTAACTCCCCTGTACTTCTTCTTCTCCTTTTGGTCGTCCTGTTCATTTCTTTCATCGGAGAAAAAGTTGCATCCAAGACAGCCCTCAATTTTGCATTGCTGACACGTTTCAGCAACTGCAGGCAGAGATATGGTTGTGTGGACTAGTTGCTCATCCTTGCTCTCACCAGTTGTAGTACCAATTGAAGGAAATGAAGAGGTAGCACCTTGATCATCACCAGTGTCGCCTGCGATTATGCGCTTCAGAGCGGAGACCATGATATTGTGCTCGTTTTCTGGTTCAGGAAGTCCTTCCTGTTTCAGTTTTTTTGAGGGATTTTCCATGCTTCCCAGTTTATCGTAGATTCTGCCACGAGGAAAATGGAAGAAGTAAACTTGTAATTATAGGGAGGGACCGGAGGCATCCTGTGTAAGTAGCTGCGCCGGATTCTGTTGTTTCGTCTTTACACACTACAAAGTCACACAAACGGTTATATATCATGAATTAAGCCGTCTTTTTTATTCTTTTCCGGTTCTTTAAATTTGTCCTACTATCCAACGGTTTTTATCTCCTCTCTGTTATCTTCTTTTATCTAAGTTCCTAAAGATTCATCGACACGTTTTGCTTGAGATTTTAAAATTTCAGGGCGTTAGGTTGGTGTAGTGGGAAAAGAATAACTTGTTTTTACCCCCAAGCTAGCATGACGAAGACAAGAAAGTACTTTTTAGGCCGGTGGCCATGCATAGTCTACTCTTTTGTTGCTTCCTTCTTGACAATGCCATAGACACTATTTCAATCACTTTTTTCAGCTCCATTTTAACTACTGGAAATCTTGAGTCTCAGTCGAGCGAAAACGATGTGGGAGAGAGAAACGTGGCCCCACATTTTATATTAAATTTTAAACTTTTGATTAAACAATTATTTTTTCTCTCTCCTCTTTACATTCTCTATTCTTTTCATAACACAATTTTTTCTTAATGGGCGAACTGAGAGCTGGTCAACCACAAGTCCCAAGCAGGCCCAGGCCTGGGCCCGTTTGGGACTGGTCCCAAATGGGACCAGTGGCTCACGGGTCTCAGGCCCATGAAAAATATGAGGACTCAGACCAGTTCTATGACCCAGGACTGATCCTATGGGTTTGGATAATTTCTTTTTCCCTCCTGTTTTTTTTTTATATTTTAGGGGCAAAATAAAATTTTGTAAGGGGTTTTTAGAATTTTTCATGGGTAGATTAGTAAGTTTCTAAACATTTAGTTAATTTTAAAAAATAATAAAATAATAAAAAAATTAATAGTTAATTTTAATTTTAATTTTTAAGATAAATTCACATTTCACACATTCACGCTTCACAAATAAACAATTAAATAATTTTTTTTATTAAATTATTCATTTTCACCGTCAACAATATTTACATCATTCAAATCTGTATTCCTAAAGAGTTTGAGTAGTTCGGGATCTTCAGGGTGCTGTTGTAGTCTTCTTTCTGCATGAGTCCAATCCCGTAAACACGTTATCACTTCAATCATCTCATCGGTTAAAGAACATCTTTTGTCTTTAACAATCTGACCATTCGTTAAAAATGTTGACTCGGATGCAATTGTAGAAACCGGCACAGATAAAATGTCACGTGCCATTTGGGCTACGATGAGAAATCGACTTTCATGTTGGTTCCACCACTGAAGAATATCCATATCATATTGCTCCTTCATCATCATAAAAGACAAGTCTACTTGTAGGTAGCGATTCAACTCATTTGGTCCATGTATGTATGAGCTGGAGCTGCTATTTCTGCGACGTTCCACATACGTCCACTTGCTCGATCCTTGACGGAGGGTTGCATTAAGGTCCGAATCCTCTCTCCTGAACGTTCCACTTCCACTTCCATTGTACCTGTTCTTATATAAAGAAAAAAGCCTATCCAATTTTAAGTTAGTCAAATAAGACATATAATCATGTCCTAAATGCTGGTCTATCTCAGTAATTATACAGTTAACTACGTGTAATTTAAACATAGGTTCTAGAACAAGGCCTAATCCATATAAAAATGGAATATCTAACCAATATCTCTCATATTTTTCTTCCATCTTTAAAACAATTTCCCTTAAATCATTATTATATCTATATTGAGCAAAAGTTTTAGCAATTTGAAGTAAAATATCTAACACTAAATTAGTAGTCGGATAATAAATACCACTTAATGTATTAGTAGCATCATAAAAAATATGAAGAAATTGATAAAAAAGTTCACAAACCGCCCAATCATCATAGCTAACAACTTCCTCTGGATATTGCTTCCAGTTGATGAAATTTGTAATTTGTTTCGCGGTTGGCAAAACTTTTTCCAACATCAAGTAGGTGGAGTTCCAACGGATAGGCATGTCCGTACATAACTTCAAAGGTCGAACTGGTGGGTCCTCTTGTATACAATATTTGACGTACTCCTGCCATCTTTTATTGCTACTGCCGACGATAAATCCGATAGCCATGCGCACCCTCTCCATTTTCAATGTATAACATCTAAACCTGCTTTAACTATCAAATTTATGATGCGATAAACACATCTCTGGTGAAAAAAATTTGCCTTCACCACACGGATCCAATTTCTTTTCAAATCAAGATATTGTCGCGGTGTTAGCAGGTACATTATCTATCGTTAGCACTACAACTCTATCAGTTAATAAATATTCTTGCAAAACTTCAAGAATTGTAAAATGAATAGTTTCAGCACTATGTTTTTCATATAATGGTTTAAAACCCATCAATTTTTGTTGTAAACCCCAATTATGATCTAAGAAATGTATTGTGACAGTTAAAAAATCGGTTTTTGATCTACAAGCCTATATGTCTGATGTGAGTGTAATAGATATATTCCTAAAATTTTGAAATTCGTTTTTGCGTTTATTATTTATTTTGTTATAAAGTTTTAGTATATCTCTTCTACTTGTACTTCTACTAACAGGGGTATATGCTGGACAAAATACAGTTTTAATCATGTGAATAAAATAAGGATTTTTAGATAAACAAATTTGAGAGTTCGTAGCAACTATGAATCTTGCTATTTCCTCTCGTGCAACATGTGCATTGTATTGCCATGTTGAAAGAGTTGAGGATTGTGGATTAAAATTAAGTTGAGTTTGAATTTGTCTATCTGATTCACTTGAAGATGTATCTGACAACTGCATTATTTGGGGGTGCTTCTTCTCCACGTGTCGTCGCATCATCGAAATCCCCTTCTCAGCGCCAATAATGGTTCCATAGAAATTACATATCCCACATGATTCTTCCCCTTCCCCATTTGGCTTTGGCCGTTTTGATTTGATGAAGTGTTGCCATACATCGAACACGACCTTCTTTGACGGTCGGGGGGGTTGGGCTATACCCATGCTCGTTGACTCGCAGCTCGCATGTGTTTGGCTACACCTCGTCCGCACTGAACGACATGTACCCACCCGTAGTTTGCTGTAAAGACAAGTTGATACTCAAAAAGTTTGGAAATGACAAACGCCTACTTTCCGTTAATATTTATTGGTTAAGTTTAACTGAAGAAGGATAAAATAGTAAATTTAAAAACAAATAAAGGGCAATTATGTCATTTTACCCCTTTCTTCTTCAATTAAAAGCTTGAAAGTCCCATGTGCATCAGGTAACTATTCAGTCAAATGCCTGAATGGAATATAAATTAGATTCGAGAGATATTTTATAAAATTAAGAATTGACAAGGAACACAAAAACAATTTTAATTCCTGGTATTGATTCAAGTGTTTCACAACTCATGACAACTAATCACAATAAGTGGGATTGTGAATTGAATGTCAACTCAATTCTTTCTACACTATGAATGTTGCATTATAAGTTCAGATATTTTCTTGCCATTAAAGATCTCTTTGGTTTTATTCTTTCAAACTCCTGATATTTTTTGGAATCTGGATTTTTTGGTTTTTGTTGTTTTATCTTTTTCGATCTCAGTTTTTTCTTCTTCAAAGCCACCACCGTCGACATTTTTGTTGGCTTTCTTTCCATTTTCCTTCACCTTTTCAATTGATCTCACCTCCCATCACCATCCCCAGCGGGATTTGACCACCCATGTCACCACCGTTTGACTCCCCATCCTCTCCTCTTCAAAACCCATCTCTCCATTAACCCTTCCCACTCGCCGTTTGCTGCCTGTGACTTGCATCTGCCGTCGCGAGACAGGCACATTTTGCAACCTTTTCTTTTGTGCTTTGTTGGTTTTTGGTGTTTGATCGGTGGGTTGCTGTTTAGAAGTGTTTGTGTTGCTGTTGTGGTGTTTTTTTAGTCACCGGCTGCTCCCCCATCGCTCCAACCTTGTTGCTTCATCGTCACCCACCACTTGTCCGACCTTTTGCCACATCCAGCTCCCAGTCTGTACAACAGCCAACTGTTGGAGTCTGGGTTTGTTGGTGAGTGATTGTAAGATTTCGCGGCCATTTCCCTGTCGCCGACGACCAAAAGTTCTATGGTTTTGAAAATGTCCACTTTTTTTTTTTTCAACTAAATAAGCAATTGCAATTACCACACTATCCTTCAGCAGACGGAATTCACTAACAGAACTTGATGAAAAGTGGGTATTTGTCATTCCCAAACTTTTTAGGTACCAACTTGTCTTTATAACAAACTATGGGTAGGTGCATGTCGTTCAGCCAAAGATGGATACATGAACTTGTTGGCAATTTTTTACATGGTAACAATCTTTGTAGATCAATCAATGATTTGCCGATTTGTAGTAGCCATCACCTAATTACCTATGAAGATTTGATATGGAATGAGTAATTCCTATAAAATTCACATTGAACTTAAATGGCCGGAATAAGATTCCATATAAATCAAATAAGTAAATTATATGTGAGAGAGTACAAAATTTTTAGCTTCAACTTCAATTTTTGTTTCATAAAAGAGAAAATGTTGATTGGAAATGCTTTGAAAAAGATATTCTTCTTCTTCTTTTTGTTTATTTATTATTATTATTATTATGTATATAATATTCAAAAGATGTGGAGAACAGTCTAAAGATGTGGAGAATAGTCTAAACCCTGAACCTATTGTTTGGGTTGAATCCTCACATTTCCAGGTAGCTTACTGTTTGATGTGGTTTTGTTTTGCCACAACACCTTTACTAAAGAGTTGGTCTTAATGTATCAAAATTTCCCTAATCTTTACATTAATTCTCTTTGAGCACATTAGTCCAATCATGTTGAGTTTCTGCTGATCATCTTCAATTTCATTTTCAAATATCTATATCAAATTTTATATGAATAAAGTTTGATTCATATAATATTTGTATCAATACAAAGAAACTATCCATCAACTATCAAATTATGCGTAG